TTTTAAGACCACTTAGCATGCTCAGATCATGACCTCAATTTTTGTGTGTTCACATACATAATGCCATAAAAGTCACCAAGTTTCGTAACAGTCCGATGAAGCTGTGATTTTTAAAATTTCGAAACTTAAAGTCCCCGTGAAATCAAAATTGAACCTATTTACTTTGTTAGCGCATATTACTAGTCTTGTGGTGAACAATTAATCCGTGCAAGTAAAAATATATTTAAAAAATGTTTTACCTTGGTAATCTTTAATCAAAATCTGAAAAGTTACTTCCGGTCTGAAACGGTTTCTTTTTCTGATGACGTAGGTTTCACAGCTTGGGTGGGGAAACGCTTAACCACTCCCCTCAAACCGTTAGTTTGCTATGAGCGAGAGATGGAGAGGAGGAGCGCTAGAGTAAAACCCTGCCCTCTGTTCAATATTCCGTTTCACTTGGAAATACGTCACAGCACTGGAGAAAAATCGGTTGCAACTTCCGGTTCACGGGGACTTTAAAATTAAAAAATTTTCGGTCAGAAATGACCAAAGAGCACCTGAGGGTTAAAATAACTGTTATCTATTTAAATATATTTTAAAATGTAATTTATTCCTGTGTTGGCAAAGCTACATTTTCAGCAGTCTTCAGTATCACATGATCCTGATTTAATGCCCAAGAAGTATCAGAATTTCTGTTAATCCAAAATAAAAAGGACAAATGGTTCACAGATTATTTCATAAAATGAAGCATAATTTCAGTTGCTCACTGGTGCACCCCTCGAGGAAGTTGTGTTGTGATTTCAGCCAACCAATGCCATTTTTGTGTGCAATATGCATCAAACTGTCAGAGAACGGACTGTACATGAAATAAATCATTCCTTTGTTTATACATAGGGCATCATGGCATTGGACTCTCCATACACGGGGATCGTTGACTGGCAGTTAGTAGCTCTGACCTACGGCAAAGACTTCCAGGAGGCAGGTGGGACTGTGCTGACAGACTTTGAGGCCTCAGACATCACGGTTGCAGCAGAGAGCCCAGCTGGGAGCGCTGAAGGTGAGTCACGTGACCTGTTCGATGTCCCAGACCTCTTTCTTTTCTTTAATATAACTATTCATCGCTTTATGTGTGTTTAGGGCTGAAATATCCCATCACCATCAAAAGCTCACAGGTGAGAAACTGAAATGTATCAGTCATGTTTTTATGATTTCAGGTCGGAAACGTATCTCTTGGGATTGTGTATGTCTGAGTGTGGCTGTGTTTGTGTGCAGGGGAAGGAGGTGAGGTGTCGGTTTGTGTTGACATGTGGAGGCCTTTACTCTGACCGTTTGTCTGAGATGTCTGGCTGTAGTTCAGAGCCCCGTATCGTTCCCTTCAGAGGAGATTACCTGGTGCTCAAGCCAGAGAAAAACTACCTGGTCAGGGGCAATATCTACCCTGTGAGTAGAAACACACACGCACTTAATCCACAGATATATGAGCGTGTCTTTTAAGGTCTCTGTTTGTGTGCCGAGGTGCCGAACCCACGCTTCCCATTTCTTGGAGTCCATTTCACTCCTCGAATGGATGGTAGTGTCTGGCTGGGCCCAAATGCGGTGTTGGCTTTTAAACGAGAGGGGTATAAACTCTATGACTTCGACACACAAGACTTCATTAATGCGCTCTCTTACAGGTACATACATACTAATACACATTGGCTGCATATACACTACTGTTCAAATGTTTGTCAGTTTGTTTGTTTTTTTTTAAATAAATGAATGAAATGCTCTATTTCAGCATGGATGCATTAAATTGATCAAAAGTGACGGTAGATGCCCTAATGTTACAAAATAGTTATATTTCATGCTGTTCTTTTGAACTTTCTATTCATTAAAGACACCTGAAAAATCTGTCATCTTTCCACATAAATATTAAGCTGCAACTGTTTTTAACACAATACATTTTTCTTGAGCAGCAAATCAGTATATTAGAATCATTTCTGAAGGATCATGTGACACTGAAGACTGGAGTAATGATTTTTGTCAGTTATTATGAATTTTAATCATATTTCAGTTATTACTATTTTTACTGTAAAGTTATTTCCAGTTTTATAACTTTGTTATGAAAACGGCATGGCCTAAAAACTAAAATGGGTGGTGATGGCAGAGTGGATAAGACTCATGCCTTTGGTGTGAGAGACCCGGGTTTGAATCCACTGTGAGACACCAATGTGTCCCTGAGCAAGACACTTAACCCCTAGTTGCTCCAGAGGCATGCGACCTCTGACATATATGAAGAGTTGATGAGTTGATTCAAATGAATGCCATTTGAAATTTTCTTCTTTAATGATGATTTTTATCAAACTTGTATATTTAAGTTCAGTAATTTCACTTAAATAACAATTAATAGGAAATTATCATTGCCATTTAAGTGAAATTGCTGAACTTAAATAAACAAGCTTGATAAAAATGATCATTAAAGAAGAAAATTTCAAATGGCATTTAGAGGCTTTTGCATCTGAACTCTTCATATAGCTATTGTAAGACGCTTTGGATAAAAAGCGTCAGCTAAATGTAAATGTAATATTGCAAATATGTAAAATGACCACGAGAATAATTCACATCTCAAATAATAAATGGTTAAACTGGCAAATGAATGTGTGTTTTTATACAATTATAAACTTCACGATTTTGCTTTAAAAATGGTTATGAAGTAAATTGGCCCCATTTACTTCCATTCTTTGTCACCTTTATTTTCTTTTAAAAAAATGAGGGACAAGTCAAAATACGTTTTTAAGGTAATCAACATGCCAAAATCCTGTCGATTGCGCAAACTGAACCCTGAATATTCCTTTAAATAGGGGTGTTCATTTAAGACAGTTTCTTGATTTGAAAACTGTGTATGTGTGTAGGGGTCTTCAGAGGCTGGTAATGAAGAACATTGTGTATGGAATGGGGGAGATGTATAGAGGTGTGTTTCCCAGTGCTCAGGTGAAGATCCTGCAGAAGTTTATACCTGAGCTGGGCCCCAGTGATGTCCTCAGGTAAAATCACTCTATTGGGAAAGTCACCACTATTGCTGTATAGTCACTCTCAAATAGTGCTTTTGCCCTGCACACACTGGCCTATTTGAAAATGTTGTTTTTCTGCTTGTTGGTTTGTGCAGGGGGCCGTCCGGTGTGCGTGCACAGGCATTGGATGCTGAAGGAAACCTGGTGGATGATTTTGTGTTTGACGGTGGGAAGGGAGAGCTGGGCAGACGGATCCTGCACGTACGTAATGCACCGTCACCCGCTGCGAGCTCCTCTCTGGCCATCGCTGAGATGATTGCAGATGAGCTGGAGAAAAGATTTCAACTGTAGACATAGCTAAGAGGACATTGCCAGCTCCATGATAACACTCTCATTCTTATACTTTAATTCAGAGGAAAAAAGAAGAATTATAGAATAAAACTTTGATGGTATTGTGTGGAACAGTCATTATGCAAAACGATTTCTGGTGCTCTTTTTTAATGGATCTTCTGCAAATAATTCAGATTTTGGGAAATGTTGGGAAACTATTATTATGTCTTCTTTATAAATCTAATGATTTATGAGGGACAGAACTGCCTTAAAGTAATGTACAAAGGTAGTTGCTTCTTAAGAATCAATGTGTTCACTCCATATCTGAATTTGTAATAAAATAAAAATAAAACACGACTAAATCTTTTTGGTGGGTTTTCAAATGATATCTTAAGCTCTGGGGCCGTTGCGTACCGGCCCTGAAAGAGGTGTACACCACTTCTGACGTATGTAGAATCATGGTTTTGAACCCAAGCATACATTCCCTTGACATTATAACTATTTTCTTCCTTTCTTGCATAATCTGTTAGGTGAACATGTAATGTTAGTTGATATTATTGAAAGTTTTGTTTTTTTTCTACAGAATAAAGAGCTTGGCGTAACTATACAAATTTAAACCTGGATAAACTATAGGAACCTTGATACTGAAAAGAAAAGAAAAGAAAAAAAAGATTTTGAGGAGGTGAAACGTCATGATTTTTTGTTGCTTAATCTTAATTTTAAGTTTTATTTTAAATAGTTTTAAAGTGATAGTTTACCCCAAAAGACAATTTTGTCATCATTTGTGAATGAAAAAATATTTTTATTCATCCAATAAAAATTTTTAAGGTAATGGTTCACATCTATATTTTATAACTTGAACCAATGAAAAATAAGTAACTTACCCTAACCAATATTTTCTATGTCTATGAAAAGGTTTTTTTTTTAAACTTGGTACAAAGTAAATATTTCATGTTGAAGAAAGTCATAATTTAAATACTTTTTTTGATCTAAACAATAATCTATAGATTTAATTGAAAGAAAACTTCTCATTTAAGAAATATGTATTATAAATGATTTATTTTCTCCAATCAAATATATATAGATTTAATTAAACAATGATGTATCATTTTTAAAAATAAATGTTAATAGAAATTATTAATTTTAAACAAACAAAATGATATGGATTTAATAAACCATGTTTCCCATCAAGGAACATTGCTTTATATTTGATCGATCCAAAATCTAATAAATAAAAAAAGACAAATAACTTGCATTGCAAAAAGATTTATTAACCAATTTAAACACATCAGCAATTTCAGTGCTCAAGTTTCATATTTTAACTTCAAGGGCTGCCAAACATTGACCTTATTCAACAGCCTTAAAGGGATAGTTAAACGAAAGTTCTGTCAGTAATGACTCTCCCTAATAATGACTAAATTAATTAAGATTAAGTAATACATTTATTTTAAGACAGCATGGTATATATAGATTGTAGAATATGCTGTTAGCTATCATTTGGATGATATAGTATCATGAGCCACAATTAAAGTCATGTGACGCTCATGCCAGGCGACAGGCGTTATTGTTGGGCCGTTTTTTAGTCCCAGTCCATCCCTGGCTTAGTGTGTGAATTTAATCAGCCCAGTGACAGCAGATGAAAATGATCTGTTTATATTACACTAATTAATGTGTGTTGTCATTGACAAATAAATAAATAAAATACTTTTTTTATTATAGGACTCACACGTTTAACAAAATAAAAATTAAATATTTTAAATGACAAAACATTTTGCAAATAAGCAACATAAATAATCCATTTGGTCTGCGTTGCCTGGATCTGACTGTTGGTCGTTCACTTCGATCGCCATCCGCTGCTTGTTTTGTAAGGCTGACCTGTCCACTCCGGCACTGTCCTGTTGAAGGAACAGACATAATCATGTACCGCTGACCAGATTTAATGAGGGATTCTTAAAGAAAATCTAAAGAAAACTTGCTTCTACCATTTCAATATGAGGGGTCTGAATTGAAAAGGAAATGATGTGCATCCCAGATTAAATTAATAAAGTATTTAGTTTCTAAATCTTAGTCAAATTGAGAGATAGGAGGGTCTAATCAATGCTCTTTTACGGGTCGGCTGGGACCTGGGCTAAAGTCTGTTCGAGTTCTCCGGTTCGGTCGAGATATATATAATATAAGGGACTTACAGACACTCCCTTTTGGATTTTCTTCTGCCTCTGCTGATGCCCCCACCAATCCCTCAAATTCTCCCTCTGCTTCGGGATCCTCAGTTTTGCGGAAGACTCGGGCTCTGGTGCATTTCGGGTATTCTGCCTCCGCAGCTCAGGGATTTCAGCATTTCTCCGCTCGGAGATCTTTTTAATAACAAGAGCCGCCTGAGCACAAGACAGAGGCGCTATCTCAGGCTGAGTATCTCACTCTGTCTGGATCTGTCGGGCACAGGCGCTCCCTCTGAGGATCTGGCGGATCTGTCGGGCACAGGCGCTCCCTATGAGGATTTGGCGGGCACAGGCGCTCCCTCTGAGGATCTGTCGGGCCAAGGCGCTCCCTCTGAGGATCTGTCGGGCACAGGCGCTCACTCTGAGGATCTGTCGGGCACAGGCGCTCCCTATGAGGATCTGTCGGGCACAGGCGCTCACTCTGAGGATCTGTCGGGCACAGGCTCTCCCTCTGAGGATCTGGCGGGCACAGGCTCTCCCTCTGAGGATCTGGCGGGCACAGGCTCTCCCTCTGAGGATCTGGCGGATCTGTCGGGCACAGGCGCTCCCTCTGAGGATCTGGCGGGCACAGGCTCTCCCTCTGAGGATCTGGCGGGCACAGGCTCTCCCTCTGAGGATCTGGCGGGCACAGGCTCTCCCTCTGAGGATCTGGCGGATCTGTCGGGCACAGGCGCTCCCTCTGAGGATCTGTTGGGCACAGGCGCTCTCCGTGTGGCTCTGGAAGAGAAGGGCTCTCCCTGCGTCCTCTTCTGCCTCCACTCCAGTGTGGTCTTCAGTGTTGCATCTGAGAAGCCCGAGTGTTGGAAATGAGCCTTCTCAGATGCATCACTGAAGACCAGGGATGAGGGACATGATGTTGCTCCTGCCTCTTCCGTTTCCCCCCACTCCTCTGAGATGGAGAAGTCGTACTCATAATCGTCAGGGATGGGGTCTGACACTTCCATAATCGCCCACCACCGTCCCAGTTTTTTGTCTTTTGAAGTTCAACGGACATCCATGTGTTAAGGCATCCTCTCATTTCCACATAAACCATCAGAGTAGCCATGCCTATTTATTAACCTAAATGTAGCTACAGCAAATCGAGACAATAACATTCCACAGTTTAAGCAGTTTCTTCTGTAATTTATTAAAAATATTAAAATTCAGATCCCCAAATCCAGTGTAAAAAGCATCACATACTCACTCAATCGCCGACTCGCTAAAGAAAGCAGGATTCCGCTGCACTCATAAAAAATATATATAAGTCAAGTCAATGAGTGTTGTCAACTGTCTGGTTTTACTGTCATTCTTCAAAATCTCGTCTTGTATGTTCAACAGAAGAAAAAAAAAACCTAATGCAGGTTTGGAACAACATTAAGGTGAGTAAATTATGACAAACATTTATTTTTAGGCGATCTATCCCTTTAAGCAACCCTGAAGCCCATTCAGTTTTCCTGTGCGCCCAGGCCCACTGCAAGGCTTACTACCACTACCATGAATTGCTACCATGAATCTGCTGAAAAGTTCCCAAGAAAAAGTGTTTACAGGATTTCTTGGGTGACCGTGTCGCTATTGACCACACGATGGCAGTGGTTGGCTGGAAATTTAGGGGATTTTTTAATAAATAGGAACTGAAATAACTATCAAAAATATAATCTGTAAATACCGCTGACACGGCACTATATAAAATATAGCCAAGTATTCTGAAAAAAGATTATTCTGTGCTTTTTAACTGAAAGGCAACAACAATAGTTAGACTGTAAAAAGTACTTCTAGAAAACACGCTTGAGTGTATGTGTGTTTATTGTGCCAAAATAAAACCAAAATATGTGCTAGCAGGCAGCTACGTTGCTGCGCTTGTTCTCTCTCGCTCGCACACAGCGGGCGATCCCTCCCTCCGGGCTGCGCAGATGCGGGAAGCGCGCGCAGTGAGCAGCTGTGATTACACCGTCATGGACACGAGCGCACCACATCAGAGTTGAATCGGGACGTTGCCAACAACAAAAACAAAGACATTAGCACTCTCCACTTTTCGTCGGAATATAACGTATTCAGACGTCGCTTGTGTAACTGGAATATGCCCAGCAGACGGACTCTCGCAACATGACAGTCTCGCACTGGAGGAACTCCTGCTCGCGCGCTTCATGAGGAGTCTCGAGGCCACAGAGCAGCCGCCGCGCGCCGCCAGATGTGCAGCTGTTAACCGCAGGCAAAACACCGCGCGACGAACACCAGTCTGACGACGCTCAACGCTTTTTTCTTAACATTTGCCCCTGTGTGAAAGAAATGACATCGGCTGTCCTGTTTGAGGAGGAGCAGCTGGGCGAACTGCCCGACTAGCATGTGAGGCTAATCTCGGGTGTATGTTAGCGGCTAATTAGCGCTGCGCGAGACACCCGCGACACTCAAACGACTGACAGGACAGAGACGCGAACACTTTCACAGTCGTTGAAACGGCTTAATTTTAATTACGAACAGTTTTCCCTGCAGAATGCGGTGTTTCACGTGTCTAAAAGCCTCACTGGCCCGTAAATGTGACCGAGTCTGAGTTTGTTTTGAGTGTGTCTGCGCGCCGCACGAGCGGCTAAAGTTGTGTGGTTGTTCCCGGTGCTGGGAGCGCGCGGGGCCGATGCAGAGCAGCCATGCAGCACGACTTCAGCTCCAGCGAGGAGAGCAGCGCGAGATGGCGAGGCCTGTTCGTACAGGCACTAAGAAAGGTACTGACCCTGTTCGTTCCCTCATTCGCACTTTTCCCAGTGTTTACAATTGAACCTCTGGTTAATGAGTTAGTTTTAAAGAGTGATTGTGCAGAACTGAAATCCAGAGTTCTCCCCGTAACCACAGCTTTGCACAGCTGTAGATAGTCTGTTTTTAGATGTTCCTTAAGGATGCATTCGTGCAAGATGCAAAAAAAATGTTTCTTTACTATTGGCCTCGGCCTTAACACCTTACAGTTACGGTTTCATGTATGACACACACTCACTTTGACGTGACATGTCATGTCCAGTGTCTAGGTGGAGTTCAGTGTTGGCTTTTACTTTTTTTAATGGGGATTTTTACCTTTGACCAAACAGTCCAATGTGTAACTAACTGTCATGCACTGTTAGTGTTACATCTATGATTGAGTGATCTCGGGGCTTCCCTTGCCAGAATTAATGTCAAATGTATTCCAAATCTCCCTCATGTCTTCTTACTACTGCAAGGAAAATATCTCAGCACCATCAGGAGACTCTTGGAGCAGATGGTGTGTGTGTGAATGTTTGTGGTTGTGAGAGAAAGATTTTGGCTGCATCTGATCTGATGCTGGAAATTATTTTTGATTCCAAACAAACAAGAAAACCCTTAGAAATGTATGTGAAGTGAGTGACTCGCTCACACACTTGAATGAACTTTGATTATAAACAATATTTTTACAGATTATTGCTTAAAGGAATAGTTCACCCAAAAATGAGAATTGTAATCATTTGTTTGCCCTCATTTACTGTGGTCCCAGATCTGTATATATCTTTCTTCTGTTGAACATAAAAGAAGATATTTGTTTGTTTTGGGGTTTTTTTTCATATAATGAAAGGTAACAGGAACCACAACTAGTTAACAACATTTTACAAAATAAATAGTGTTTCTTAGAAGAAAGAAAGAAAGAAAGAAAGTCATACAGGTTTTTGGAACAACATGAGAGTGAGTAAATAACAGATTTTCATTTTTGGGTGAACTGTCCCTTTAATTCATTCTAATTTACTTAAAGCAAAAATAACTTATCCCAATCGGGAATAGTGAACAGTATTATTATTCACTTTTATTGGTAGAGCTGTTCTGTATGAGTTATATTATTCATCCAAACCTATACTATTAAGAGGTAAATATACAGAGCATCACTCTGGATGTGCACTCGCATCTAACTGTCATGCACTGTTAGTGTTACATCTATGATTGAGTGATCTCGGGGCTTCCCTTGCCAGAATTAATGTCAAATGTATTCCAAATCTCCCTCATGTCTTCTTACTACTGCAAGGAAAATATCTCAGCACCATCAGGAGACTCTTGGAGCAGATGGTGTGTGTGTGAATGTTTGTGGTTGTGAGAGAAAGATTTTGGCTGCATCTGATCTGATGCTGGAAATTATTTTTGATTCCAAACAAACAAGAAAACCCTTAGAAATGTATGTGAAGTGAGTGACTCGCTCACACACTTGAATGAACTTTGATTATAAACAATATTTTTACAGATTATTGCTTAAAGGAATAGTTCACCCAAAAATGAGAATTGTAATCATTTGTTTGCCCTCATTTACTGTGGTCCCAGATCTGTATATATCTTTCTTCTGTTGAACATAAAAGAAGATATTTGTTTGTTTTGGGGTTTTTTTTCATATAATGAAAGGTAACAGGAACCACAACTAGTTAACAACATTTTACAAAATAAATAGTGTTTCTTAGAAGAAAGAAAGAAAGAAAGAAAGTCATACAGGTTTTTGGAACAACATGAGAGTGAGTAAATAACAGATTTTCATTTTTGGGTGAACTGTCCCTTTAATTCATTCTAATTTACTTAAAGCAAAAATAACTTATCCCAATCGGGAATAGTGAACAGTATTATTATTCACTTTTATTGGTAGAGCTGTTCTGTATGAGTTATATTATTCATCCAAACCTATACTATTAAGAGGTAAATATACAGAGCATCACTCTGGATGTGCACTCGCATCTTTCATTTTCTCTGCCTACACTCCCATTCTCCACATCAATACTTTTCTGTCTGCTACTATCATCCCCCCATCCCTGGAGAAGACAGAGGGGTAGAGTGTGTGTTTGTATATGCGTGTGTGTGTGTGTGTTGTGGAGTCCCAGTAGAGTAGCTCTCAGTGCCTAATGGAGGACAGCATGTAACCAGACACTAGAGCAGAGATCACAAGCCATCTCTCATCTGTGTGTGTGTGTGTGTGTGTGTGTGTGTGTGTGTGTGTGTGTGTGTGTGTGTGTGTTCTTTTTTGGACTGCAGAAGGGAATTAAATCTTTATTTTAAACCTGTGCTCACCTTTAACCTTTCACCTGTCGTAACACAAATGCCGTTCTCTCTCACACTTTTCTATAACTGGTTTTGCCACAGTACCTGAACAGACTGCATTCCTGTTAAAGGACACAGCCCAGTAAGGTGGGAGGGGGATAAAATGGGAAAGAGAGTTTTTTTTTCTTCTTCTTTCAATTTGTCCACCAAACTGAGAGCCGGAAGGTGTGTGTGCATATCAGTGTACGTATGTCAGATGATGTCATGCTGCCTTTGTTTGTAACAGTGTAGCTTCCTGTGCGTATATCTATAAATCAGACCAGATCCCAGACCAGATTGATTTTTTTTAAAAAACAATTTATATTTTAATTTATGTGCTTTTGTCTTTCCATTCCTCCCCATTCAAATGCATCTTTGGTTCCCTTTATGACATTGCTCTGTTTTTAAATGTGCAGGTGCAGCTACAAGTACATCCAAACCTGTCGGCTAAAGAAGACGCACTCCAACACATTGAGGCGCTCATACTACAGCTCCTGAACAAGCTGTGTGTCACACAGCCTAGAACAATAGCTGATGTTGAGGTACGTGCACTCACCTGTGATGGACGGTATTATGGTATATAGTGTACTATGGGAAAAATGTCAACTGGCAGAGGTTGCGCTGTACATTTTGATATATTTATGCAAATATTAGTAGGCAGCTTTACAATTTACATTTGACTGATGAAGAAACATGGAGAAATGTAAAAATATGGATCAGGTATGTCCTAAACAAACAAGACAAAGAAGGTTTTGTTATTTAAGGGTGCAACTTAACATAATATTCGACTGATATCCCAATAGATGTGTGTTTATGTCAGCTGTTTTTAAATGGCTTCAAATAAGGCTCATCCGATCAGAGTCTTAGTCTAAACTTTTTTTCATATAACTTAAAAATTTCAGGAGTCAGCACGATTTTGACCAGTCTAGACCATTTCGCAAGATGTACACAACACTGGTCCAGAAACACTTCCTGTTTCACATGTAAAGAAAACATCTTAAAGATGTTTGTTTAACTTTTTGATTCAGATTTATATGTTCTGTTGGTTGTATTTTATCCCAGCTTTTATGTAGTGTTAAAAAACTGAAACAGGAAGTGCTTCTGGACCAGTGTTGTTTACATCTTGCAAAATGGTCTATAGGCTCTTTCCTAGGGATGCACCGATCCGATACTCTGTATCGGTATCGGCTCCGATAAACCACCACTATTATAACATTTCTGAAGCCATTTTATAGTATAATGTGAGTTTGAAATTAATATTTAAATTGTTAAATTCACGTTCACGTAAACTCTTCATTCAGCATTGAAACAGCGCGTCAAGTTCGGTTACGACAGCCAACACGATGAAACTCTCCAAGAGGATTCAATGTTACTATTAATATACTTGATCTGTAGATAAAGCTCTATGGTTTCGCATAAATTGACTATCTTGCTGTAGTACCTTAATCATGTTCCTTTACTGTGTGTCTAGATCACAACACTGGATCAACACTATCATTGTTCTTCACACGCACAGTAACTGAAATTTAAAACTGTTAAAAGAAAACGCTCAATAAACTATTGCATAGATAGATACTGTATAATACACTATGTGTTGATATGTATTTCCTTTGTGCTTTTAACTTTTCAATGCGGACTCGAAGAGCTGCGCGCTGTGACTCATGTTGTCTCAAGCGCACCATTCAGCGCTCGGGATGCGCATAAGCTCTGTGTGCAGCACTCTGTTGGAGTCTTTCATGATCATATAATACTTCTGCGCAATGAAAGATTATTAATATAGCATTATTTGTTCTGTTCTGTCCTATCTATCATATGTTGCTGCTAGGGATGCACCGATACCACTTTTTTGGAAAACGAGTACGAGTACGAGTACTTGCATTTCAGTACTCGCCGATACCGATACTGAGTACTTAATAAAAAAACAAAAAAAAACATGATTTAAATATTTTTATATACCGGTTTTTAGGTCCTTGATTAAATTACTTGGGTAACACTTTATTTCGATAGTCCACTTTACTAACTAACTTTTCAATTACATGTCAACTAACTGTCATTAGAGTATTAGTAGACTAGAGTATTAGTACGATCAGCTTAATATCTGATAACACTTTATTTATTTGGTCCCCCAACAGACATTCAACTGACTATAAGTAACTTGGCGACTACAAGTAAACTTATTCTCCTAATCCAAAGCCATTCACTTTGAAATTGTTCCACACCAGTGATGCACGGGTTGATCCAAAATGAGCTACGGTTACCCGCAGTTACGGGTCATCCAAAAATATTTTTAATGATATTCGGGTCGCGGTCGGTCAGGTCGTTTGAAAAAAAATGCCAATTAAACCTTTGTATTTATATAGTACTAGATAGAATTTTCTATGAAATATATAGGCCGAATTTATTTATTGGCTGAATAACTTGCACGAAGATGACACACAAGCTCAGTCTAAAGTAAACAGTTCTCAGTTCTGTACTGGTGTGATCCGAGAACCGCTGTACCTCTGCGTTCGTTACTATACGCGGATGCGCAGTATCAGCAGTATCAACAACATGTCTCAGTTCAGTGAACTGTTAGAGTTACTGGAGTAAAATATAATTCGGGATATTGGTTTATTTCAACTCGGAGGGACTGTCAGGCATGTCTGAAAGTGAGTAACTGTAGTAACTTCACTTGTGGATCAGCACTGACGCAAGACGTGAACTGATGCGAATGATTCAGTTCGATTTAGCGTACTGGTTCGACCGGTTCATTAAAAAGAACCGATTCGTTCACGAACCGGCCATGTCTATGATCACTAGTCTGCAGAGAGATGGAGGCGGCAAGAGAAAAGGTGAAGACTGGGGAGTGGAAGCTCCGCAAATACACAAATAGAAAGAGTAAGTGTGGGAGACATTTACCGAAATAATGAAAGATGATGTAGGCTACGTCTTCTTGCGATGCTGTGTTGTTACACGTTTATGGCCCAATGACGCTACGATGAGCATGTACTACTTTTAAAAAATACGGTCAGGAAGAGGGTCGGGTACAATATTTTCTTACTTTTTTTGCGGTCCGAGTAGCGGGCGGGTAGTTGAAAACGTTGGTAGTGTGCGGGTTGTTTATACATTGACCCGCGCATCACTGTTCCACACGGCTGACATGTCTCCCCATCTCCCCGCTCTGAGCTGCAGCCGGAGCCTGGGGGTGGGCACTCGGCGCCTGTGATTAACCCATTTCTCAGAACATGGTATCGGTCCCCGGTATCGGGGGACTTTTAACGAGTACGAGTACTTTAGAAAATGTGGTATCGAGGCCGATACCAGATACCGGTATCGGTATCGGTGCATCCCTAGTTGCTGCCTCATTAAACAGCTGTGCTATACATTTGTGCTATGTATATTTTCTTAATTTTATTTTAGACTATAAAATAATTGATCTTTTTGATTTTTATCTTGTTTTTCATGAATGTATTTTACAACAATACAAAGAGCAATGTGTAACGTTTTACCAGATTTAGTGCTACACTTATTGTCTCTTATTTGTTCCCCACTAAATTTTTTTTTTTCTCTAGATGTTCTGATTTTATAAAATTATTGTTTTTCTAGACTAAATTTTAATCACTAATCTAGTTTATAATAGCATTTTTTGTCATAGATTATGATCACATACATTTTTTTGATTTGTTGTTTTTCTTCATAATTAAGTTGTCTGTATTTAGTAGATTGTGTTGAACACACAAAAAAGTGATAATCTGTTCAACACTCAGAGTTATAGAAATTCTTCTTGATTAAAAACCAAAAAACTGGTATCGGTCAATACTCCAGATTTTTGGTATCGGATCGGTTCTGAAAAGATGGTATCTGTGCATCCCTATTCTTCCCTATTGCAAAATCACACACAACCATGTCACATAGGCTAGATCTATGAATATATTATTATAGTTCAGTGACTGCAACAACCCTACAGCGTGAGCATACACTTAAACACACACACAAATACAGGCTTTGTTGTTCTTTGCTTTTCACCAAATCATTTGCACATTTGTCTTTTTATTTTCTTTCTTTTTCTATCCAAAGCTAATATAGCAGCAACATTAAAAGATCCAAGTGCCGTGTTTTGTGCGAAAGCTCATGTGATTTCCACTGGCAAAATTTGGTTGAGAATGTGGTCAATATCGATTCTCAAAAACCACTAATCAATCTTTTTTACATATTTATTTCTGCAAACATTGAAAATAAAATCTGATTGACGTTAATCGTATTACTAGTCTTTTCCACTAGATGTCCTCCTTTTATTGCAGATGCAGGTGCGCCTTTCAGCATGAAAGACATTCTGGACATTGAAGGAACTGATACTGTCCCAATCGGACCATTGCTGCCGTGGTCACAAGTTTATCATTTGCACATGTTAAATATTTTAAACATAATTGAAACATCCTAGCTCAAAGTGTGGTGTGAAGTTTTATTTGAGGCAGAAAGAAGTTTTGTGATACGCATAAAAAGCTGTGCCTCTCAGACAGAGTGAGAATAATAAAATGAATTCTCTTTCACGTCTCTTTGCACATTTGAATGGACAAATTCACACAAATTTACCTCAAAATCCCCAACATGGCGAATATAATAACCAACTAGGCCTATGTTTACTATGTTATTAACGTCGTAAACACTTGAGAAGACAACACGTGTATCATTATACTGGATCCATGCATTGTCTTAAAGTGACAGCAGCATAAGATTCCTTAAAGGGTTAGTTCACCCAAAAATCATCCTCATGTCGTTCCAAACCTGTAAGACCTCCGTTCATCTTCGTAACACAGTTTAAGATATTTTAGATTTAGTCCGAGAGCTTTCTGTCTCTCCATTAAAAATGTGTATGGTATACTGTCCTTGTCCAGAAAGGAAATAAAGACATCATCAAAGTAGTCCATGTGACACCAGTGGGTTAGTTAGAATGTTTTAAAGCATCAAAAATACATTTTGTTCCAAAAATAACAAAAACTATGACTTTATTCAGCATTGTTTTCTCTTCCGGTTCTGTTTTTGATATAAGTCGCACCTGACTATAAGGTGCAGGACCAGCCAAACTATGAAAAAAGTTTGACTTATAGTCCAGGAAATACAGTATGTAAAATTTTAGAGAGAAAAATAAAAGAGAGGTCTTGTTACCTTTGGCTTAATTTTTGTTCACAGGATCGTGTTCAGAAGACGTTCCCAAATCCCATCGATAAATGGGCCATGGCAGACGCTCAGGCTGCAATAGAAAAGCGCAAGCGAAGGAACCCACTGCTGCTGCCAGTCGACAAGATACATCCACTACTGAAGGTGCAAAAAACACTTACTTAATCTACAACATTCACATACTAGCACACAGAGTAACATGTGTCTGGTTTTGTGTGTGCAGGAGGTGCTGGGCTATAAGATCGACTATCATGTATGTCTGTATATTGTTGCTGTGTTGGAGTATATCTCGGCCGACATCCTCAAGCTGGCTGGAAACTACGTGAGCAACATTCGACATTACGAGATCAGCCAGCAGGACATCACCGTCTCCATGTGTGCTGACAAGGTCAGAAATGTGTGTCTGTGATTCGTCAGGTGGTTTCATTAGTTTAAGTTTTTGATAAGTTTTTGTTTCCTGAAGGGATGTTGTGGGTCAAAAAAAAAATCACTAAATAAATTTAGTGATATTACACCTTTAATAATGACAATTATTAGGATTGTCATAAGAGTATCATTCTATTGTGTCTGAAACATGGAGAAAACCCTTCTTAATGCCTTATTCAATTTAGGCAATTAATTAAAAAAACAGAAAGTGAGTCATTTGCAGTCTTTGTTACACTGAATGTAATTATCTACTAAGTTCATCAAATCTTAAACCTGCAAAATATGTCAGTGGTTCTAGGGTCAGTGACAAATAAAGTCCTAAATGATAAACTAGATGAAAAGTCTAGTTTAAAATACATTTCAGGTTCTGAGAAATAATGTTTTTTGACCTGGTTTCATGTTTCTTGTTTCATGTTTTTACTTTCATTACCTAATGATATTATTATCTAAAACCAAACTATCTGAATTGTTTTGATGCTTATTGACCTTGACAGATATTGCGCTCTACAGAGGTCTGTGATATTATTATGATTATCTTTAATATGGTTTGTAATAGCAATGATGGTAGTAATAATAATAATAATTATTATTATTATTATTAGTAGTAGTAGTAGTAACAAAAAAAAAATGTCCCAAAGCTGCTCCACTCTATTACACTAAAGAAATAAGGAAATATTATTCTGGACTAAAAGGTCTGAACACTAAGAGCAATAAAAAATGTATTGCATAAAATCATGGTAATTTAAAGTTCCAATTAAATACTTTGATGTATTAAGAGCCCTAATATTGCTTTTGTGTGCCTTCAGGTGTTGATGGATATGTTTGATCAGGAAGAGGAGATGGGGCTGGTGTCTCAGAGTGTAGAGGAGGTGTCTTCCTCTGGTGTGCTCACATATGACGATCTTGTGCGCCTGGAGATCGCTGAGGAACGTCAGTATCTGCGGGAACTCGATCTCATCATCAAAGTATTCCGGCAAGCCTTTATGTCCAATAGCAAACTCTTCTCCTCTCAGGTGTGTTCTTCTGACCAATCAGAACATGAGTTGTCTATGTAAATGAGCATACACGCATCAATTTGCTGGGATTAGCTCTCTACATTCTCTTTATTATCATTTATTCTCTCTGTGATGTGTGTAGGATGTGGAGCTGGCATTTAGTAATATTCTAGAGGTCCATGAGTTAACAGTTAAACTGTTGGGTCTGATTGAGGATGCTGTAGAAATGACAGCTGATGGGAGTCCACACCCCCTTGTGGGCAGCTGCTTCGAAGACCTCGCTGAGGTACAAATAAAGTCATAAACACGCATGAAAGTTCACAAGTGAGAAAGATCATCCACAGAAGTACATTAGATTGCTGTTAGAAATGTCTATGTATGTGTCTGTTGTGTACAGGAGCAGGCATTTGATCCCTATGAGACACTCTCTCAGGACATCCTCTCTAAAGAATTCTGTCAACATTTCAACACTCTGATGTCCCGCCCCACTGTTGCCCTGCACTTTCAGGTCAGCACCATCACTGATTATTATTGATATATTGTGCATCCCTTCTAAATTCAAAACCTGTTTAAAAATAACCAAAATCTCCAGACACTAATACAGTAGTACAAAACTAAAACACAATCCTTAATCAATTCAATTATTGGTTTAGATATATTGTTTATTTTAGTGTGCTTTTAAGCACTTGTTTTATAATTGTGCTTATAAAGACAACTGCTCCTTCATCAGTTTAACTAGGAAATCATATGTACCACATTTTAAAGGCCACTAATACTTCACTTTATTTGTATATGTCCCAGAAGGACTATTAATTTTACAGCAAGACAGCAAACAAAAGGACAATTTACAAAACATTAATAATACAATCTGAAAAGAGACCTGTGGGGTCAGAGAGACAGTGGAGGGCGGTGGAGTCAAAGCCTTTATCTCTGCAGGCATGAGCTCAGATGTTCTGCCTCATGTGGTGTGATGTGTGTGTGTGTGTGTGTGTGTTTTAGTCAATTGCAGAGGGTTTTAAGGAGGCAGTGCAGTATGTGCTTCCTCAGTTGATGATGGTTCCAGTTTACCACTGCATGCACTACTTTGAACTGTTACAGGTGAGTACTAAACATTCACACTCAATCAGTAACCTACAGTTACGTATTCTTGCGTTATTTGAGGTTCATTGAGATTATTGTCTCTCTAGCAATTGCAGGAGTGCAGTGAAGACCAGGATGACAGAGAGTGTTTAAAACAGGCTCAGACTGCACTGATCAACCTACAATGCAGCATTGAACGCATATACGCTAAACACCAACCACGGCGCAAACAAGGGTAACGGAAACACCAGGGCTTGCACAACTATGTGTCTGTACCAAACACCTTTTTCATCTCTCGTTCTTGTGACTCTCTTTTAGGGAGCCCCTATACCGGTTATATAGTCGCGCATCTCGCAGTAAGCAGGCAGCAATAAAGCGTATGAATGACATCCAGAAGAGTATTGATGGCTGGGAAGGCAGAGATATTGGGCAGTGCTGCAGCCAGTTCATCCTGGAGGGGGCACTCCTACGGGCTGGTGCCAAGCATGAACGGCACAACTTCCTGTTCGACGGCCTCATGATAAGCTGCAAAGCCAACCAGAGCTCCCGGTTGCCTGGGGCTGGCAGTGCGGCTGAGTTTCGTCTAAAAGAGAAGTTTGTGTTACGCAAGTATCGCATCGTAGATCGCGAAGATTCATCAGAGTTTCGTCACGCATTTGAGCTGGTAGGCCGCGAGGAAAGCAGTGCCGTATTTGGTGCGCGTTCGGCGGAAGAGAAGAGTGCGTGGATGGCTTCATTGGTCACGCTGCAGTACCGGCCCACTCTGGACCGCATGCTGGACACTGTCCTGCACCGCGAGGAACAAGCACAACCACTGAGGCTGCCATCACCGGATGTCTACCGGTTTGCCATCCAGGACTCTGAAGAGAACATAGTGTTTGAGGAGGGAGCGCAGAGTAAGACTGGAATCCCCATTATTAAAGCCGGGACAGTGGTCAAGCTCATTGAGAGACTGACATACCACATGTACGCAGGTACAGAGCAAGAATCCCCCTTAATTCAAAAGGTTTTTAAGATCATGACAAATGTTCTGTCCAAACTCTTGATTGGTAGTGTATGTTTTGGAGTATGTTTTTATGTACATTTCCTCTTTTTCTTACAGACCCAAATTTCGTGCGTACGTTTCTGACTACATACCGTTCTTTCTGTAAACCCCAAGACCTGCTCACACTACTGATTGAAAGGTAAAGAGCACATACACTTGTCTCATACACATGTTCAGACAAAAGTCAGTCCTTTATGTGGTGATGCTGTCAAATTCTACACTTAAGTAAAGTTTGCATAAAGTTCTACACATTTGTAGAATTTTATTTTGTCTCTGGCCCCTGCCGTGCTGTTGTATGCAAATGTCTTATGATTGGTCACTTTCAAGGGAGCTTTTGAGTCGGTCGCATTAGATCACTTAAAGCAGCATTATGTTACTTTTGAAATTTTGCTCTCGGGCTCCCCCTACAGTTGGGAAACAGTATTGTTTTCTACTACTGTCATAAAATCTGTCATGGTTACACTGGGGAATAAACGCATCCATTTTTACAAGCGATACCCCGAACTCTGCAGAAGGAAGGAGTTCTTACATCTTGGGCAGACTCCAGTGTTGCGTGTGAAATGTCTTCACCCCCGGTACATTGGCATATATTTCAGCATGTCATATTAATATAGTTTCATGGGCTTTATTTTTTTCAAACGTCAATGTTTGTATGGTAGATAATAGCCATGTCGTCAATATTATAATATCAAGCTACCACAGATGAATCTGCAAATTTGAAAAATCGATTTGCATTATAGTCTGAGGTAAGACACTTTCAGCAGAAAAATGAATAACAAACATGACTATTAGCCTGCAGACAGAATAGTTATCCTGACCGATTATTTTGTCCGTCTAATCATGTATTATATACTTGCAAGAATGTAGTACCCTCAACCAAACTCAGTGATCAGTATATTTCCACGTCTCGAGCTGGTGCGAGCTGCCCGCCACGACTCTACGGGGATGCTTGAGTGTGTTAAGCGCCCTCAAAAGAAAGCAATGGAGTCTACATTGGATGCGGCGAAGGACGAAGCTACATAACACATTACCAACAGTAAACTGATCGCGCGTGCGCTCTGTTTCTGACGCACTTTACATTTGCTAGGCGGGGGGTAATTTGATGCACCAGACCGTGGTTGTGAGAGTCGTGGGACTTAGTTACGTTTTTGTGGAGTAGTATTACAAATCAATGTTTTTAAAATTAAGTATTAGTAAAAAAAAAAATCACTCCTTCGCTCATTTTGGCGTACCCTTTTTGGCGTATGGATGAGTGGCGTCAGCGAGCTAACGCTGGACCAATATTCATTTGATCCTCGTCCAGCCTTTTATTTAGCCACTCTCCCTTTTTCTCTTTCTACTGTCTTCCGACAAAACCTTTGGCTTCTTGGTTTTACTTGCTGCCTCAGCCATGACAACATACAGAGGTAAATAAACGTTTGTTGGGCTCTCACGCCGGAATTTGAGGAAGTGGGGGAAGTGATGTATGCCGTAAAGCAGTTGAATTTTGTAGTTCTTTTTGTGCTCGGGTTCCCGCTCCCTGACGTACAGACACTGTCAGGCTTTGGCAGACCTGTCATTCAACCTATTGTAAGTCGATGTACCATCTCCAGGGTTTTGGAAAAATATTATAAAGGTTGAAAATGTTACGTAGTGCTGCTTTAAGTCTTTGCACAAGTGTTTCATTACACTGCTGAGCAAACATTTGCATTAAAGAAGCATCAGCCAATGAAAAGAAAGGAATTCTTTAAAAAAAAAAAAATGTAGTGTTCCATCCACCCTAAAATATTGACATATCTGTCAAGGAGTTAGTTTCCTTTACACATTTTTGTTTGCCTTTCATTTTCGGATGTATCGTATATGCATGTAATTTGGTTGTACTTGTTTCCCCATGATGCTTCAGGATTGAGATTCCAGAGCCCGAGCCATCAGAAGCAGACCGAGAGGCTCTCTGGAACGGAGAGCAACCAATGGCAGCTGAGCTTCAGAGATTTCGCAGGGAATATGTGCAGCCTGTCCAACTCCGGTAAAACAAACACACATTCTAAATTGCCATGCACACTCATACATAGGGATGGGTATCGTTAAGGTTTTATCGGTATTACTACTCTTACCGATACCGCTTATCGATCCGGTACTTTAACGGTATTCTTATCGGTTCTTTTTGGTGTTTTTTTTTTTTTTAAGAATTAAGAACATAATTAAACTTTATATTTTGAAATGTAAAATAGAAAAAGCAAAACGAAGAAAAATATATTTTTTGTTATGCAGCAATATGCAGCAATGTTTTTTTGTTTATACAAAAAGGATGCATAAGAAAAAAACAAGTACAAACACAAGAATACAATGAATCAAAGATACAAATTGTATACAAAGTGCTTTAATTTCAGGAAGGTGTACTAACATCTTTTCAGGTAATTGTTTCTATCTGAAAAGAAACCTAGTAATCAAATATAAAATAGCACTGTATAGTTTATCATAGATAGAATAATGCTTATTACATCTAAAGTTACTCATTCAAAAGCTGTGAGGGATTTTCTCTGGCTTTTGTTGTTTGATTTGCATTAATGTCTGAATCATCAGCAGGTTTAGGCTATTAGACTGCTGCCCCTTTAAGACCGATTGCAGATCTAATGGGGACTGATGCACCATCATTTTCTCCCCATTATTTACGTCCATTTAAGACATAATTGTGTTTAAGTGAATAAACTGTGTTTAAGTTAATCTCAGAGCTGGTCATTTTGACATTTTTATGTATATTTGATAGTTCAGGACGCACGAGCCCAAGTATAGGCAGTCCCTTTCGGAGCGCGCACCGCCTTGTGAACAGCGTCTCTTGCGCAGGTTTTTGTGTTTTTAATAGCCATTTTTTGATCTTGCAACAGTAGAAGACAGCATTTTGCAACAATCGCTGATCGTGCTGATTCTGACGATTACGTTTGGGTTTTAGGAAGAACTGACAGCGCTCCGCAGTGCTGTGAAGTAAAGGAAGTTAAGCTGGACAGATCGTCTCGTTTTTTTAACGGTTTTATCTCAAATATCTTCTTTTTATAATCTTTGGAAGCCAAAATACAAAATATATTAGAATAATATCCCAGATCTAAAGTGTAACCACGTTGAATGTTAGTTCTGTCCTCATTGTCACTCATTAAGCAAGGGCTGTCGTGTTGCGCGTGCTGTGGCTTTGCGTGAGGGATCGCTCTCTCTCTTCTCTCTCTCTCTCTTCTGAACTGCGAATTGCACATTTGCATCACAGACTATGGTTTAATTAAAATATAGCTTATATATAGAAATGGCTGGCGAAACATGTTCAAGATAACTTCTTTATAGGAATAATAAATAGTAGCCCAACTTACGTGTATTTACTTAATTTCTCCAGTACCGACAGCAGAACCGATAACGTCCGAGCTTATCGATACAGCGGTCTTTCAAAATTCAGTACCGGGGCCCGTTTAATACCGGGTTTCGGTACCCATCCCTACTCATACATGATGCACTCATAATATTATAAAAATGTAAAATTTAAAACATTTGTTCTGCCAAATATGTTGTTTTTAAGATTCTTTGATGAATAGGAAGTTCAAAAGAACAGCATTTATTTGAAGTAAAAATTTGTTGCAACAATGTTGAGGTTTTTAAAGCAGCAGTCCGGCGTTTTTTTCCTCTTTGTCGCCATCTCTGTTCGAAATCTGCAATTGCAGTCATTAGTGGAATTATCAACTTTACTGACCCCAAACTCTTGACCTGTAGTGTGTTTATATGGTGTTTTTGGTGGTGGTGGTGGGCTTGTTTTTGTAAGACTCACATGCATCCTGTTTTTTTCTCCATCTTCTCTGTGGTCATTTCAGTCAATGTGCTGTTGTACATTAATTCACCACAGTGAGCATGTCGGTCTAATGTCTGTGTGTGTCATTAGGGTTTTGAATGTATTCCGTCAGTGGGTGGAACATCACTTTTATGACTTTGAGAATGATCCTGAACTCTGCGGAAGACTTGAAGAGTACCTCACCAGCACCACACAGCTTAGAGGTACGTACACCCTCTTAATACACATTTATACACACTCTGAAATACGTATTCTGCTGCATATTCGCATACATGCGTGCATACTCAATGAGACAAACACAAGCTCAGAGACTGATGTGGGATGTTCTGTTTTCAGGTAAATCGATGCGTAAGTGGGTGGAGTCTATCAGTAAGATCATGAGACGTAAGATACAAACTCAGTCTAATGGCATTAGTCACAACATTACCTTTGAGAGCCCACCTCCTCCTATCGAATGGCACATCAGCCGTCCAGGGCAGGTCGAAACCTTCGACCTCATGACTCTTCATCCAATAGAAATTGCTCGCCAGTTAACACTTCTAGAGTCTGATCTATACAGGTGAGACAATCGGAACTTAAAGCATGAGAATAAGAAAGACAGTACATCAACTAACTGTGGTACGTTTGTATGCATAGAGCCGTTCGTCCATCTGAGCTTGTAGGCAGTGTTTGGACAAAGGAAGATAAAGAGAAGAATTCTCCCAATCTGCTGAGGATGATCAGACACACAACCAACCTCACACTGTGGTTTGAGAAGTGAGTAACTAGCCCTTAGTCAACTGCATCATCTCCATGAACAATAGCCTACATTTGATCTTGCAGAAAAACCATTATCATACCATTGTTTGCAATGTTTTAAATCCTGTAAGTACTTTAATTCTTTGTTTCTTTCTCTGTCCCTCAGGTGTATAGTTGAGGCTGAAAATGTGGACGAGAGGGTTGCCGTATTCTCCCGTATTATCGAGATCTTGCAGGTGTTTCAAGAGCTCAATAACTTTAATGGTGTTTTGGAGATTGTAAGCGCAATCAACTCAGTACCGGTGTATCGACTGGACCACACCTTTGAGGTGACCTGTTAATTTATTATTGATGGCACTCACAATGTGAATCTGAATCGTAAATGACAGATAACCAGATAACGGTACAGTGTTTGTGGTTTTGTTGTTTATATGTAGGCCGTGCCTGAGAGGAAGAGGAGGATTCTAGAGGAAGCTGTTGAACTTAGTCAGGATCATTTTAAGAAATACCTCGCCAAGCTTAAATCCATCAACCCACCTTGTGTACCCTTCTTTGGTAAGAGAAAGAGATGCTTGTAACAACTCGCACTACTCTGAAAACGTTTGGGAATGTTAATTATTTATTTTTTAAATGCTCTCCAAGGCTGCATTTATACAGTAAAAACAACTTTAAAATAAATTTAAAATAACTGTTTTCAATATGAATATATTTGAAAATATAGTGTATTCCTGTGATGGTGAAGCTGAATTTTTGCAGCCATTTCTCCAGACTTTAAAAAAACAGTTGAGTTGCTTAAAAATTTTGTGGGAACTGATTCTTAGATGAATAGAAAGTTATTTGAAATTGAAAACTTTTCTGACATTGTAATTATGAATTTCTTCACTGCCACTTTTGCCTCATTTAATCTGTCCTATCCTATCTGAATAACAGCATTAATTTCTTTAAAAACAAAAGTCTTACTGGCCCCAAACTTATGAACAGTAGTGTTGTACGGCATATGTGATGTTTCCTGTCTGTTTTGTGAATTTAGGTATCTACCTGACTAACATTTTGAAGACTGAAGAGGGGAATCCAGATTTCCTAAAGCGTGATGGAAAAGAACTGATCAACTTTAGCAAAAGACGCAAAGTAGCAGAAATCACTGGAGAAATCCAGCAGTACCAGAACCAACCCTACTGCCTCAAAGTAGAACACGACATAAAGGTTTATATTGTTCATCACTCACACTGTTTTCCTATTCCCCTCTCTCATTCTCCTGAGTTTAACCCTTTCCTCTATTCCTGTCCCTGTAAAAAATTAACCAAAGCCCTATTTTTTTTTTGTTCTGCATTGTAAATGTTTCAATCTAACCACTTCATATATGTGTGCAGTCGGTATTGTGACTGACTGATTTTTATTACAAAAAACATTGCCTCTTTTTTATGCATGTGAGTGTGTTCTGCTTTGGGGATGTTATATAGTCTCATATCTTCATTTGTAAGTGTTTTTGTTCTGGATTGTGCCAGATTAAAAAAAAGACAAATAAATAAAAATCCCATTTCCCATTCATTACTACGGGTATCAAATTGACCCACGAGGGAAGGATTTGTTACTATTTTTATTATAATCACATAATCCTAGAACTAAGTTAAACAGTTTTTGTCGTATTCCCAGTTCAAGTGTGACAAATCTCCTAAGCTCTAGGACCACTCCAATGAACACTCAACTTTTAAAAATTATAAATGAGGAATTTCGGGTCAAAATGACCTGAGGAGAAAATGAGATTCGAGATTGTCATTTTGTCTTGCAGAGGTTTTTTGAGAATCTGAATCCAATGGAAAACATGAGTGAAAAGGAGTTTTCTGACTACCTGTTCAACAAGTCTCTAGAGATCGAACCACGGAACTGCAAACAGCCATCCAGATTTGTGAGTTTTTGTTAAAAACACTGTATGTCATAGTTAAGAGATGAATCAGGTTGGTGTCTAAATTACTCTATTTAAAACTTTTTCAAAAGTTTTTTTAAAGGACTTCTTCAAGAACTTGGTCACTTTAAAATCAATAAAATGGTGTCCGAATGTATTGTTTCCTTTTCGCTGTGGGTAATGTGAAGTGTTTAAGTTTACACAGTATGTTTGTCTTACAACTGAGTGTGTTGTGTCATATAGCCCAGAAAGACTATGTATCCTCTGAAGTCTCCCGGCGTTCGGCCGGTGCGGCAGGCGTCAGGAGGAGGAGGAACGCTGAAAGGTCACCCAGTGCCATTAGAACGAGAACCACCTCACAAAATCACCTTCAGAAGCATTGCAGAAACAGAGCCTGAGACCCCTCCTTCTCTCCCCACCTCTCCGAACACACCCACGCCTCCACAGTCTGCCAGCTCGGACTTTAACTCCGTGTTCATGGAGCACGACCTGAGCAGCTCCTGCGGTGAGAGAGGGGATCTGTGGCGACTCAGTGGATACGAATCAGCTATAAACAAAGTTATGCATGACTTAAATGCCATTTTGTGTTTTTTTCTGCAGGTAACACAATATTTGCCCCAGTTTTGCTCCCCCAGTTCAGTAAGTTTTCTGATTTTCCTCAAGCAGCGCTCCTCTGCTTATGTTTTTTGTGACAGACCAAAAGACTGTGTACTTCTGTCTTTTTGTCAGAGTCTGTGTCATGTGGCAGTTTACACCAGTTGATGGGCGATGAGCTACTTAAACCCCCGCCATTACCTCCCCGCAGGAAAGATACCTCTTCAGAGTCCAAGGTGCCTTACATACTGTGTTGTGAACTCCCCAGTCTTCACCTTTTCTCTTGCCGCCTCCATCTCTCTGCAGACTGTAGTGATCATAGACATGGCCGGTTCGTGAACGAATCGTTCTTTTGAACCGGTTCTTTTTAGTGAACCGGTCGAACCTACACTAAATCGAACTGAATCGTTCGAAACAGTTCGCGTCTTGCGTCAGTGCTGATCCACAAGTTAGTTACTTACTTTCAGACATGCCTGACAGTCGCCTCCGAATCGAAATAAATCAATATCCTGAATTCTATTTTACTCCAGTAACTCCAACAGTTCACTGAACCGAGACATGTTGGTGCCACTGTTAAGAGAAGTGATGAGCACGAGCAGCTGATACTGCGCATAGATACTGCGTACTACCGAACGCACAGGGACAGCGGTTCGCCAATCACTAGTAAAGAACCGAGAACTGTTTAGACTGAGCTTGTGGGTTATCTTCGTGCCAGTTATTCAGGCAATAATGTGTAGGGCTGTATATTTCATCAAAAATTGTGTCTAGTACTAATACAAATGTTTAATTGGCATCTTTTTTCAAACGACCCGACCGACCGCGACCCGAATATCATTAAAAACATTTTTGGATGACCCGTAACTGCGGGTAACCGCGGGTGACCGCAGGCACCCGCTCATTTCGGATCAACCCGCGCATCACTGGTAGGTGTCTTTGTTTCCACAGTATTTTCAATTTTGAGATTTTTCGGTCTAACCGGTGTTGTCTGTCAGTCATATAATGGAGGTTTATGGGGTCCACATCAAAGAGCATGCACAGAGAAGTCAAAATTAAACATGTTTTAATGACTCGTAAATGTAAGTACACATTGATGGCCTAAGACACGAAACGAGCGGTTTGTGTGAGAAAACAAACAGTATTTATATCGTTTTTACTTCTTGTTGACAGCTATGTCGAACTAATCTGAATCAGATGTCCAACTGAATTGAACCGAACTGAACCGTCTCCAGACGTTACGCCGGAAGTGATCTCTCGCGTGTCTACGTCACGCATTGTTTACACAGAGATTTCGGAAGTTTTACCTTTCACTAAACATATTTTGATATACGGAAATCGCAATGGAAGACGATTTCGATATATATAAATATGTTTAGTGAAAGGTCAGTGTAAATCTCAGTGTAAACAATGCGTGACGTAGACGCGTGAGAGATCACTTCCGGCGTAACGTTGGACATGATTCAGTTCGGTTCAGTTGGACATTTGATTCAGATCAGTTCGACATAGCTGTCAACAAGAGGTAAAAACGATATAAATACTGTTTGTTTTCTCACACAAACCGCTCGTTTCGTGTCTTAGGCCATCAATGTGTACTTACATTTACGAGTCATTAAATCATGTTTAATTTGGACTTCTCTGTGCATGCTCTTTGATGTGGACCCCCTAAACCTCCATTATATGACTGACAGACAACACCGGTTTGACCGAAAAATGTCAAAATTGAAAATACTGTGGAAACTAAGACACCTACATCTTGGATGCCCTTGAGGTAAGCTGAAACATACCAAAAATTAATTTCAATGTGAACTATCCCTTTAATGGCAGAGCCCCGTTTAGAGCTGCTTCAGTGCAACGATATGATAATCACTACCGCTTCTTGTTTTAGTACATATCCATATACTTTACTATAGGGTCCAAAAGTAATGGCTCTTTCAGACTGCACGATTTTCAAAGTAGTCAGGTCGCTGCTCTTTTCACACTGCATGACTATCTTGGCCAGCATTCAGTCGCTGCTGTGTTCACACTGGACGATGGATCGGCGACAGAAGGTTTCACACTGCATGACTTTAGAAAAATCGCCGACAGACTCTGTCTAGCACGCTGCACGCAAACTACATTTCACAACAAACACGCGTGAGATATGAAAAGGAAACAACGCGCGACACCACACGTGCAAGACCGGAGTTCTCACGTGAGACTTTTTTTTTCGACCCGGTTGTGGTACAGCTGGTGAAACAGACACGAGTGCTCCTGCCAAATTTCTACTAATTTTTCTTCCATTTATTGTGTCCAAATAGACCGAGAAGAAGCTTTTTTTGTTGAAACAATGCCATATCATGTTGATATGTGATCTATAACTCCTCCCCGAACTCCCTGCTGCTCTGTATCTTCTCTCACTGGCTGCCGGTGATCGCCGATGTAGTTTTCAGTCAAAACACTTTTCACACAGCAGGATTTTGAATCGCCGACAGGTCCAGATATTTAGCATGCCAAATATCTCACGGGCGTCGGCGACTCGTCGGTGATTCTCTCAGTTCGCGTCTTTGTTCATTCACACTGCGTGATTGTCACTCGCGTGAACGAGCGCCGATTTGCCTGTGATTTCGGCATTTGTCGGCGATTTCTCAAAACCTGTCGGCGAGCCAAAATCGTGGCTAAAATCATGCAGTCTGAACTCGGCATAAGAGAACACTTCTTTTCACAGGCTAAATTCATCATGTTGTGCTGTCACATTCACACGAGTGCAATCTATTCTTTGCAGAGTTTCAGGTCTGAAAGTCCTCCCGCCATTCCACCACGACTGCCTCCTCCCCCTCGCCTGCAGCCACGCGTTCCGGTGATCAACGGGCCGACGGAAGGGCCGCTGCCGAGCCCCCCACCCCCTCCACCCCGCGATCCCCTTCCAGACACGCCTCCACCCGTTCCACAACGACCACCCGAGATCTTCATCAACTACCCGGTGAACATGCAGCCATCTCCAGGGATCCGTTTTCATTGGGACTTCACCAGCTCGCCAAGCACTCCCAACACCCCACCCGGCACGCCCTCTCCACGTGCTCCGCCCCCGGGCACACCTTCTCCACGCGTGCCCCGCCGGCCCTGCACACCCAGCTTCAGTCAGCCCATTCTGGTCCACCTGCCCCCACCCACTCCAGCACCTCCCATACCGCCTCGTCACAACTCCACCCCTGCGCTGCCAAAACTGCCACCCAAGACTTACAAGAGAGAACTCTCTCAATCAACACACACTCTCTCACAGCCTTCGCTACACACTCTCTCGCTAGTCGACAACAGGGACAGCAACGAATAAGAGCATCCCCCGACCTAAAATAGAGACGCGAGTGTGTGCGTGTTTTAACATAGTTTAACCTGGAACCAGACAATCTGATGCTAGTCGAAACCTGAAGACGGTCATTGCTCTTGAGGAATGTGATTCGCTCATTTTCTTTCACGTTCAGCATGCAGAGCTACGCAAGGTCATGTGCTCGTCAGCAGTACATTCTCGAATGAAAATGCAGCTCTGAGGCCTTTCACCATCATTAGACTCTGCTGTGGATGTTTATTTGGTTGCAGGTCAAAGGTCAACCAGGGTTCAACCCGAACACCCTCAGCACGCCTCTCTTCAGTTGCCTTTAACTCACAGCTGTGACCTTGACCAGAGATTGTACCCTTCAGGTGAACTCTTGACATTTTGGTGAGGGTTTTTCCTCACACTATTTAAAGCCAATATGATGTCTTAACCCCTCCCCTCAAAGGCGTACTCATCTATTCATTGATTCATCACAAGCCACACCCCTCCACCGATACTTACGACTCGTGATTTTTCGCTCCAGACTCTTAATGTGCCTTCAATATCAGTACTGAACAAAATTGAAGTGTCTGAAAGCATTCGCCTTGACCATGCTTAGAACAAATGTCTAGACAACACCGTTTGTGCGCGTGTGTGTGTGTGTGTGTGTGTGTGTGCGCAAGCGTGCTCCAAGTATTCTGTACAGAGTAACATATCTGCCCTCACTTCTCACCTCTGCGCCCCAGTTGCTGATGTATCTACTGACAATCTCAGTCTGAGACCCACCGGATTCACACACTGTTGTATAGTGTTTGGTGTGGACCAGTGTCAAGTTTGTGTGTCTTAATAGTGTGCGGTGAGCCTTTTTTTTGCACTTTAGGGCAGTACTGTTACAAAGAAGCAGAGGACAAAAAAAAAAAAAACTCACAATCCTGTGACCTTATGACCCTGTCCTGCTGACCCCCGTCCTCTGGGCTGGCCGGGACAACCGTCAGGCTGTGTCCCAAAACTCATGTACTTGGGGACAAAGCGCTGCGGTCCGAATGTTCTATTGTAAATCACGCCTCTTGCTTTCATTCAGGTCCTCTCATCAACCAAACCAGGTCCACACAGGAAGGGCTTTGTAACCAGAGCAATTCCTCTCAAATTGACCATGGCGATCAGCCATAGAGGGACTGCAGTGTTTTGTAGTGATGTCACATCCTGTATGTGTAGACACTCATACTGGCCTTTCCCACTGAGCTGATTTGTCAATTGGTTTGAAGTGTTAGTAAATCCCCAAAAACTCACTGTTTCTGTGTGTGTGTGTGTGTGTGTGTGTATGTGTGAGTGTGTGTGTGTCTGTGCGCATTCCAAGGCCTGTAACTGCTTTTGTACCATGTTCTCCATGAGACTCATTAATAAACACGCAGTCTTATTTTCTACGGAATGTTTTTATTCCTCTGACTTTATGTACATTGTTACATTTAAAGTGTTTCTTTCTCTGACAAATCAAATCATGCTGAAACTTATGAATTTAGCTATTGTGAGCTACATTGCTGCATGTCAGTTCACAGTGAGAGGAACTGTTGTCATTTATTTAAAACAGTGCAGACTCATGAATATTAATTGTTTGCTGGCATGAGAGTGTGTCAGACTGTACTGCAGGGTCCTTCACTGTCCTCACTGTCATGCCACACTGCTTCAGCCCGCTGGACTCCAGTACCTCTATATGCAGATCTAAAACAACAGATGCACACATTACCACTTTCTTTCAAGTCCCCATAATTGGCATCACACAATTTTAAGTTTAGCACAGGGATGACTATGCACATAATTGAATTGACATGCAGTACTGTGATTTCATTTGGTATGTTTGGAATAGCATACCACTTGACATATTTTTGTATTACTATTTTCACAATATTCTATTGTAGGCATATATAGATTTGGGTTTAGTGGCTATGCAGACAGTGACCTCAGAGGTGCGTGCTTTTGAATATGTTGCTAAAATGAAGCAAAGAAAACAGTCCTCACTTGACACTGCAATTTTATTGGTACAGTATTGTGTGCATTAAATGAACATCAATGTTTTTAATTAGACTGTAAGGGCATATTTAAAATAAATAAATTATGTACATTGAGCCAGTTATCACAAAATAAACCCTGACACTTTTACGTTATCCCTTGCATAATAAAGATTGGATTATTCCATTAAATTAATGTTAAATTTTGATTTTATGGTGACTTAAAGGATTAGTTCACTTTTGAAAAAACTTTTGCTGATAATTTACTCACCCCCATGTCATCCAAGATGTCCATGTCTTTCTTTCCTCAGTCAAAAAGAAATTTAGGTTTTTGATGAAAACATTCCAGGATTTTTCTCCATATAATGGACTTCAATGGGAACCGGAAGGTTCAAGTATCAAAAGACGGTTAATAACTGTTTCAGATGCAGCTTCAAATGTCTTTAAACGATATCAGACGATGAATAAGGGTCTTATCATGCGAAACGATCGGTTATTTCAAAACTTATTCCAAAAATGTAACTTTTATAAGTACAAATGCTAGCCTTTCTCCATTCTGTGAGGCGCGTTTGCAACGTCACGTATTACGTAATTACGTTCAAAAGGTCACGGGCGACGTAGCCGAAAGTACAGAGTCAGTGTTTACAAGTTGAACGCATAGGTTGAACGTGCAAACTAACTCAAACGCTGTTTACAAAAAAGGGAATTAAAAGGAAAAACAACGATGTCGGACGATTTTGATTCTGTACTTCCGGCTACGTCACCCGTGACCTTTTGAACGTAATTACGTATTACGTGACGTTACAAACGCGCCTCAGAGAATTTAGCAAGGCTAGCATTTGTCCTTATAAAAGTTACATTTTTGGAATAAGTTTTGAAATAACCGATCGTTTCGCATGATAAGACCCTTATTCATCGTCTGGTGTCGTTTAAAGACATTTGAAGCTGCATCTGAAACAGCTATTAACCGTCTTTTGATACTTGAACCATCCGGTTCCCATTGAAGTCCATTATATGGAGAAAAATCCTGGAATGTTTTCATCAAAAACCTAAATTTCTTTTCGACTGAGGAAAGAAAGACATGGACATCTTGGATGACATGGGGGTGAGTAAATTATCAGCAAAAGTTTTTTCAAAAGTGAACTAATCCTTTAAGTATTTTACATGCATGGATGGTATCAGCATCCAAAATTAACACTTACCAAGTGCCAAATGTTAAATTAGTTCAAATTGAATGATAGGAATCTTAATGTAACTATTTGAAATACATATTTATTCAAAATTACACAAATGCATAATGTTCCAGTTCCTAACATAATGTAAGTTTTGTTTTATTCCTACTGACCACTAGAGGCAGTGTAAGCACTACTGGATTATCGCAGGTGCACAGACATGAACCAATAAGGCTTTTAGTATTCGAAGAGAAACAAGAGTTTTTCCCATAAGCGTCAGTTACTAATGCAATGATAGTGAACCTTATCGAAAGGGAATTGTTTTCTGAGGTTGTTAAATGTTAATAACCATATACTGCACATTTTGGTCATCAAGGTAGCATGCTATTCCAAATGCAGCTATACGCCTCTTACCGTGATTGGTCGGTCTCTTGCTGTTGATTCATGATTTGATTGGTTGAGCTGAAAGACACAGAGTTCTCTTTTGCAGGAGTCACATCACTCTGAAAGAGAAAAGATGAGAGGTTTTGTTAATGTTTTGGTAATATTTACCTCTCCATTTCAGACTAGCTTGAACTGTATCTCAAGGGGTCATGTAAAAAAAAAAAAAAACATTTCCTCTTTTTGTATAAAACTACACAATGTAACTTCTTAAAACGTTGTTGAAACTAAGCTGCAAAAAATTGTCATCCCAAATTTTGATACAGCACAATGGGACGGTATAAAATGTTCATGTTAAACTGAATTAGAGATAAGTGAACATAAGGGGAAGGAACTATGATTAAAAGTTGTAGGATGCTGTAGTCTTGTGCTAATTTTCATTTGATGCCTCAAACCTGTGAGTAAATTGGCTCCCAAATCGGCCGAAAGGCACTGGCGGGGATTCTGTGAGGTTTTGGGGCACGAGTTTTTCCTTGTATCCCAATGCGAACCTCGGCAGGAATAGGAGCCCGTCTGGGAATCTGCCACGGCATGCATAAGCTTCCCCCCGCCTGTACGGCTGAAGTGTTGTGAGTGTATGAAGGTTTGAGGAGAACTGGAACCTCGTTGTCCTCTTCATCATCATCCTCATCATCATGAGCCTCCGCTCCCCTGAGCCGATTTAAAGTTTCATCTGGGCTACAAGTTGTCACAGAGGAGAAGTCAAACACGGATGCATCGGCCACGTCGCAGTCTGTGTCCCCGTCATCGAGACGAGGGGGTGGAGGGCACAGGTCAGATGTGTAAACGCGTCCATCAAGTCCCGGAGACCCACAAACACGTACAGCCAGACCAGCCGAGGAGCTCTGACTCTTGGCAGCAGTGGTGAGGTTTCCCCCTACATCAACAGGTGGCCCAGGGTTCAGAAACCGGCCAGCCTCTCTAGGATGACAAACGAAGGGAACGCAGATGGGACCCGTGTGGCTCTGCCCTGCGCTGCCATTCCACATGTACTCTGAAGTCCAGCCACCATGTGGCAGCTCACAAATATGCTCACGGCCATTTCTAAAGGGGAAACAGTTTCTGTTTTATTATGTAGATAAAAAGAGTGTAATTTACATTTTGCAGAATGCAGTTAGTATTTTATATAAGGTGAGCAAAAATTTTTAAAAAAAGTCAATCCTTATTATGTTTAATCTAATTGTAAATTACACACATACTGTTTATATGAGGGATTTAAAAAATGGTTTTCTTTTTATATGTATATTATATATACACACACACACTCACCTAAAGGATTATTAGGAACACCTGTTCAATTTCTCATTAATACAATTATTTAATCAATCACATGGCAGATGCTTCAATGCATTTATATTAGGGGTGTGGTCCGGGTCAAGACAATCTCCTGAACTCCAAACTGAAAGTGAGAATGGGAAAGAAATGTGATTCAAGCAATTTTGAGCGTGGCATGGTTGTTGGTGCCAGACGGGCCGGTCTGCAGTAGCACCTCATTGCAGTACACAAGATCCAGGAGGGAGTTGGATCCAGATCTAAGGAGTTGAGATGGGTAGGTTTAGGTATATGTAAGGTGGGAAATCCCCTTGGATTTAGTGTTCTGCAGTGAGGACCATCTCCTGGTCTGAGTATTTCACAATCTGCTCAGTTACTGGGATTTTCATGCACAACCATATCTATGGTTTACAAAGAATGGTGTGAAAAGGGAAAAACATCCAGTATGCGGCAGTCCTGTGGCCTTGTTGATGCTAGAGGTCAGAGGAGAATGGGCCGACTGATTCAAGCTGATAGAAGAGCAACTTTGACTGAAATAACCACTCGTAACAACCGAGGTATGCAGCAAAGCATTTGTGAAGCCACAACACACACAACCTTGAGGCGGATGGGCTACAACAGCAGAAGACCCCACCGGGTAGCACTCATCTCCACTACAAATAGGAGAAAGAGGCTACAGTTTGCAGGAGCTCACCAAAATTGGACAGTTGAAGACTGGAAAAATGTTGCCTGGTCTGATGAATCTCGATTTCTGTTGAGACGTTCAGATGGTAGAGTCAGAATTTGTCGTAATGGTGTGAGAGATGTTTTCTTGGCACAGTTTAGGCACCTTAGTGCCAATTGGGCATCATTTAAATGCCACGGCATCCCTGAGCATTGTTTCTGACCATGTCCATCCCTTTATGGCCACCATGCACCCATCCTCTGTACACCATGTCACAAAGCTTGAATCATTTCAAATTGGTTTCTTGAACATGACAATGAGTTCACTGTACTAAAATGGCCCCTACAGTCACCAGATCTCAACCCAATTGAACATCTTTGGATTGTGGTGGAACGGGAGCTTCATGTTCTGGATATGAATCCCACAAATCTCCATCAACTGCAAAATGCTATCGTATCAATATGGGCCAACATTTCTAAAGAATGTTGAATCAATGCCATGAAGAATAAAGGCAGTTCTGAAGGCGAAAGGGGGGCAAACACAGTATTAGTGTGGTGTTCCTAATAATCCTTTAGGTGAGTGTGAGTGTGTGTGTGTGTGTGTGTGTGTGTGTGTGTGTATGTATGTATGTATATATATATATATATATATATACAGTATATTGACCTCCATAATTTTTAATCAAAATGTCATATTTGGATCGCTTTTCAGCAACTCAAAATCCAAGCAAAGGACCCACCTCAATTTTTTTCTTTTTTAATAATCTGTCGCTACCTCGGTTTCATCACCACTTTATGTGATATTATGAAGATAAAATGTTTAAAATTTAAGTCATTGCCATTTATTTTGTAATTGCTCTACAGCCAATA